TCAAACCTTCATGCAAAAAATAAAAAAAAAAATAAAAAAAAAAATATATATATATATATAAAAGGGGTGAAAGAATCGAACCTACACCGATAAGCTAGTCCATAGTCGACGTCTATTCAGCTTCTTGACTCTTGTAATAAAAATAAAAATCGATTTCATAACAAATGAATCATACTAATTTTAAAATTTCTCGTAAAGTTTAACTATTGTTTATTTAGTATTTTGCCTATAAGTAGACCAGATCACCACGATGAACACAACTTATTCTCTTCTTATCGAAAAAGTAGTTTGAAATCTTTTATAGTTGCTTTGTACGAACACGTGGACATGCATACTGATTTTCGATCAATGACATACAATATGTGTCATAAAATATTACGCTCGTAGACACGTGGTAAAAAGTTAATAACAAATGTTACTAGTTCTTGATAAGATATTTATTTTCATTTAAATTTTGCTAATAAAATCGCAATAAAAGTTTTGTGGCAATGGGTCTAAAAATAAGGAAAAAGTCTCAGATTTTGTAGCAAGGCTTGAAGCTTATGTAAACTGGTTTCTTTGCGCCCACCGGGGCACATCCGAATTGGTAGAACAATTGCATTGGTAGGCTCACAAACCAAGCGTGGAGGGTTCGATTCCTGGAAGGTAGCATCTTGGAAGAGGGATTTATCTCGAAGGCAAGGTGCTGGAAGGCAGTGGAGAGGGCCCTTTTTGGGGAAGGAGTAAAAGTCATGCAGGAATTTGGGAGCCAATAAGGACACAACCAGCGATTAACTTCCTCAAGCTAATGTGGGGCCGGAGGTTTGAGGTTCAGGATTTAGTCTGGCGAAGTTGGGACACCTGGGTATCAAAAAAAAAAAAAAAAAACCGGGTTTCTTTGTGTTGATTACCTGTCCTTTTCAACTCCAATAAAATAAAATAAATAAATAAATCCTTGAAATATAATAAAATGTCTCTCTTACCCCTTAGCAGCACCTTGTATTGTCTTTGGAGAAAGAATATCTCTCATTGCTTTTTAACATATATTCCTCTCTAAGGATTTCTCCATTGATTTTTGTGGAATAAGTTCTCGTTTCATCTCTATGCTTGAATAAAACCCACTATGTATTTTCACTTCTCTTTAGTCGGTTTCAAAAATTCCCCGGAATAGCACATGGAATATTTATATATATTTTTTTTGGAATTTTTGTTGATTTTCTAAAATTATTTTGGGTTCTTTGTGGACTCAATCTGTGTTCAGAATCCATCTTCATTTTCTAATCATTTGGAAATTGAACTGGTTTTCTTCTTCTGTTCTATACATCAGAACTGCCCATCAAAAATTTTCGGTCAAAACTGATGGACTCAGCCGAACTTTTCAATAAGAATTCTATCGAACTCGAGTCTTTTTAAGTTTCGGTATCATCAGGATCGAGTTTTACCTTGTTTTTTATTAAGATTTTTCGATTTCGATTTCTTTTCTTTTCTCCTTTTTAATCTGGGCAGGGACTGGTATTTCCATTGAATAAAGGCCATCTGAATTGAGTTTTTCACCATGGCCAACAGTTCAGTGACTCTGGATAAATGGAGGGAGTATTTCAGGAGTGCGAATTCAGATATCTTTAATATAATTGAGCACGCAATTATGGTGGCAGCCTCTGATTGCCCTTATGAGTTCAAACTGAAGAGGGAGAGAATTGCGGAGATGCTTTTCACATGCAAACAAACAAGGTGTTTTGGGTGTGAAAGAATTGAACTGGCAGTTCCATGTGAAAATGATGCTGAAAAATGTGATGACAAGTACAAGAGTGGAAATGAGACGGGTGGAAGTAAAGACACAAAAGAAAGCAAAGTGCATAGCAATAGAGATGTTGATCATACGGACATGAATGCGAATTATGTCAGTAATTTCAGTTACGGAGAAGCCGAGACATTGACTGATGAACTTGATGAGGAATATCAGTTGCTTGAAGAGGTTTTGAGGATTAAAGATATTCTTAACAACAGTGAGGAAGAGGTTTATTTCTATTTACTACACTTAAATTCTTGATTTAGTTTTGGTTTTACATCGATTTGCAGATGGGTTGTTTATTATTTGCTTTGGTAATTCAGTAAATTGGAATGAATTAGGATCTGTCGCACTTGTTTTTAGATCATCAATTTTTTGTTATGTTCAACTGGAGTGTGGCCTAGTTTTATCTGAAGTTTCATTTACTAGGACTTTTGCAGCAAGGGTTTTTGCTATTTAATGTTTGATTACATGACAATGATATGATTACTTTAGCTAGCTTTATCTGTTTTTCCTCGTGTTAACTCAATTTTGCTGTTCTTTTTGCTTGGCAGTCTGATTCATTATTGTTTGAATCACTGAGGAAGCTTCAACTGATGCCTTTGTCTGTAGAGATTCTGAAGGTTTGAACAGAATCCTTTACTAGTTGATAAATTCTGTTTTGCTAATTTTGGAGAAGAATTTTTGGCTATTCGATCTTGTTACGCAGAAGTTGTGAGAACCATTTGTAACTTCTTCTTTTTTTTCTATTTCAGGCTACGGAGATTGGAAAGTCAGTTAATATGCTGCGGAAGCATGGATCAAAGGAGATTCGTAATCTTGTAAAAACGTTAATTGGGTATGGCCTCTGGCCTCTTAGCTCTTTCATAGTTATTGTCGTTGAACGCTGCAGTTAATGGCTTGAGCACATTTGAGGTCGTTGTCATGATAACGGCTTGAGCACAGATCAAGATGTTACAAAAAACGTGCTGAATTGTCAAAAATTGTGGCACAAGAAGAAAGAATTGATCACATTAATGGTTATTGATCAATCTCATTTACGTGCTTTTCTGATCTAAAATTCACATTGTCTGGAGTTTCATTAAAATCTTGTCGTATCTCTATAGAATTCAAGTCATCTTAACGGTAGTCGTTGCCTTATTAATGTAATGATTTGGCATTTTTGCGTCTGTGCAACACATCGATATTTGCTTTCGCTTAATGGATTTCACTACTCAAGTATTATCTTTTAAATCAGAAGTACATGATAACAGAAGCATTTTGTAATGCAGGGATTGGACGATCATGGTTGATGAATGGGCTAATGCTACAGAAGCCACTGCAGGTTGTTTATCTTGAAGTTGTTTCTAAAGCACAAGCATTCTAAAAGTTCAACAGGGTGTTAATGTGTGTTACTTATGTTTTACAGGTGCAGAAGTTGCAACAGAATCTGTAAAAACGTCTGCTTTTGAAGAAGAGGAAGGGCTTCCGTCTCCTCCAATGGACGAAGGAGCATTTTTTGCTACACCTACTTCAATGGAACTGTCACAGGTGTTATATTTTATAGCCTTTCTTGGCTCAAAATCTTTACAACTTTCATTTAAGTTCATGTGCTGACTTAGATTTGCTTTTCTTGCTTTCCTCTATTCCCATTTGGCAAGTTCTTTGACGGCATGGATGATGATGGAAGTGAGTTTTTTTCCTTTGTCCTTGTGATCATGCTCTTTTAGTATAGCTTCTGCTACTCGGTTCTTTATTTGGATCCCAACTAATAGAGATGTATTATTTTAGTTGGGGACGCTCTGGATCCTCGAAACAGTGGGGAATTCAATAAGAACTGCAAAAAGGGCAGACAGCCAACACTCGAGAAGCCAAGTGTCCCTAAATGGAGAGACCAAAGTCCGGAATCCAACAAGAACCATGAAAGTAGCAGAAAGGTGACACTCGAGAAATCGAGTATCCCAAAGTGGAAAGACCAGGCTCCTGATGATTCATGCACTCGTCCAAAGGACACAAAAGTTGAGCAAAAGAGGGATCTGGAAGCTGTGGTGAAGAAACAAACTCCTGTGCGTAAACCTAACAAACCGCCCAGCAGTGGAACTGGACCCCGGATGCCGAGACCAACCTTGCAAAACAAGGTTAAAAATGATACTAAGGACCAGCAGAAACCCGTCAAAGGCATGATTCAGAAGAAACCAACGCCACCTCAACAAGATGTGAGTATTGTGAGTACAGATATATTGGTGTTTGGCCTTAAAGCCTTATTTTTATCCAACTGTTATAATTTTACTTCAACAGAAGTTGAGGGGCAACAATGAGGCTTCAATGCAAGTAAAGCTAGAAGCAGCAAAGAGGAAGCTCCATGAGCGCTATCAAGAAGCTAAAAATGGTTAGTTCGTCCTATTTCAAACTTCACACTGCTGAATGTGAACAATTGGCCTAGGGGACGATATGAAATACTATTGATGAATTGTTTCATAAGATCGCGATTTTCATCCATCTAATTTTTCTTATAATTTGCCAACAGCCAAGAAGCAGCGGACAGTACAAGTTGTGGAGTTTTGTGATCTCCCCAAGCAGAGTCTTGCTCAGAGTAATCAGAACATGAGGCCTGGAAACCATAATAGGCAAAGGGCAAATGGACGCAGGTAGATTATGTAATTACTAAACTAGTTTTGACTTCCTTGTTTATTTTGTCTTGAGCTGCTCGAGAACTTGAGAACCTCAAGCATTGATTCGAATAGGCATGCTTTTTGATGTGTTTAAGTTAGTAAATGTAGTTTCGACTTTATAGTCGAACTTGTAGGAGAGGATAGCATTGGTTCTCTGGATCTTTATTAGTTACATAGGAACCATAAACTGTAGACTGGTGGAAACATTTTGCAATGAAGCATGTGGTTCATGCTCAAGTTTAAGCATGAATGCAATAGAAAGGATAAACCTTTTCAGTTTTAGAAATTGGTGATCGACCAATCTATGCATGCTCCTTACCATTTATTCTGTTTCTGTATCTGATGCTCGGGGACGATGAGCAGAATTCGTCCTGCCATTTTTCTATTTATTTTTATTAATTTTTGGCTACTTGTTGAAGTAAGAAGATGCAGTATTAGATTAACAATTCTAAGTAACCTAAAAGAAGGAAAAATCAGTTGACATTTGATCAACTAGAGATTATTAATGTGTATAAATATTTTAATTCATATGTCAACCAGGCTTATTGATTTTGTTGGGTGCATTAACTTTGCTATTGTACAGTGAATCTAAAATTTATATTATTTTTATTTTTATTTTATTATTTTATGTCAGTCCACACGTATTGAATTGACCAACTCTAGTCATATATGAATATCTTATGACTTTCATAAAATAATATGGCCAATTAATATGACCGTTTCGAATTGGTCAAAAAAGATGACGGTAGAATTGTTGAAGTAATTTCGTGGTGTCAAAGTTGGAGGGATTTGGACTTCAGACTTCAAACTTTTGTGGTTAATTAATTATTAAAATAATAATAATAAATATAGAAACCTTTTTTCTAGATTCATCGATATTGAATCAATTGAAGATACTTCTAACACTTGTTCCACTTTTAGAAGCCCTTGCAATAGCATAAAGTTAAAAATATTTTTATTTATGACAATATACATCGTATTAGATTACTCGAGTGGATTAATCACTTGCTAACTAATTTAATAAAAACCAAAATTACTCTGTTTAACCAAAGATACTGCAAAAACCAACTTTTAACTATTGCAATGGATAGAATTTTCCTTCTCAAGAAATGTAATTCAAAGAAATCATTACACTTTATTAGGTAATTAGAGAATTAAACACCCTTTTCAATGATATACTAAAAAGTCAAATCCAAATTCTCATCAAAATCTGCAAAGTTAGCAAAACAATCAAGTTCTACATCAATGACTTGAGGATCGTCCTTTACACAGTACTAAATAGTAATGTACAAATTAAGTCACTGTTTAAATGTGTGATTGAAATAATGTTAAAATACTATCGAAAAATATATTTTTTTCGAAAGAATGGGACTCAAACAAATGCTAAGTTATACTAGTCACTAGAAATAAATTTACATGTAGCTTTTTCTTTTTTCTATGTTGTTGCATCGACCACTAACCACTATTTTTTTGCTAATGCGTATACTTCGTGTCTAATTCATATTTACGGGTGGATTTAGGAATTTTTTTATTATATATCAAGAAAAGAGAATAAAAATCAATAGTTCTCAAGTAAATAGAATAGTGTTTTCTTGAAAAATGAGTGGTTGAAAAAGAAAGAAGAATTTCGATTTACGTGTAATATTATTTTATGGAAGATTGTGTAGTTGAAAATAGAAGAGAAAAAAATAAAATGTAATAAAGCCCCTGAATAGCCACATATAAAATAGGGTAGGTCACTAGCTTATGAAATAATTTATGTTCCTCAAAAAAGTCATAAAAGATAACATGCAATTCATAGTGTGGAAATGTTCTTTTCTAATCCTCATGCAATTGGTAGAGGATTTGGCAAGAGCTCCCTCGTCCATTAGTCATGACTTGTACAAAAGCCTCTAATCTATAGAGTTACCAATTGAGTAAACATTTTATTATAGTACTTTCAAATGAAAGTACAACCTAATTAAATTTTTGGGCTTTGATATTGTACCTTCAAATCGTATGTAACAATAAATGGAAATCATTTTGGTTTATACGATTTAGCACCTGTTTGATGAAAATTTTTTGAGATTAAACTTTGCGAAAAGTGTTTTTTTTTTTTTTTTTTTTTTTTTCCAGGTATCCCAACTTACCCTAAACTAAATTTGTATTTTTTTTATATCCAGGTATCCCAGCTTACACTAGACTAAATTCTAAACTCCAAGATCCTTGCCCCTAGAACCTTGGAACGGGTAAATCGCGAGTTATGCCTCAACTGGATCACAGGTTCCCCCCACCCCTTGTACGCTTCTGCGCACAAGAGATCATCCTCCAAAATGATTGCTCCATACCAAATAAATCTGGCAGCAAGTTCCCACCAGGATTCGAACTTCCACCATGTCGTTGGAAGCAAGATAATGTTGATTGATCCACCAGTTGAGCTCTGCCTCGGGAGGCATTTTTTTTTTTTTTTAGTTTTTAGAATGCTTGGTCAAAAGGTAGGAAAAATTAAGAGTTCACTTGCAAAATTATTTTGATCGAAAATGAGTATTAATAATTTGTACTAAAAAGTGGTTTATTTAAACCTATGTTTGGTTTCCATTGTTTTAAAACATTTTTATGTTATGGGATCATTTTCACTCAGACATTCAAACTATAAAATATTTTGTCCGCCAATCTAAAATTTTTCCCCATATTTTAACCACACATTCTTCTAAAAGTATTATTCAAAACCTTATATATATATATATATATATATAATGGACACCAACCAGGGGCTTAGCTTGAAATTCAAATGGCTCGTGAATTCCAACTTGATTGTAGATTTAAAACTTGTAAATCAATTGCGAAATATTTTTTTATCGAATTTGAAACCGTCAATCCTTTTTTCTAGATTCATCGATATTGAATCAATTGAAGATACTTCTAACACTTGTTCCACTTTTAGAAGCCCTTGCAATAGCATAAAGTTAAAAATATTTTTATTTATGACAATATACATCGTATTAGATTACTCGAGTGGATTAATCACTTGCTAACTAATTTACTAAAAACCAAAATTACTCTGTTTAACCAAAGATACTGCAAAAACCAACTTTTAACTATTGCAATGGATAGAATTTTCCTTCTCAAGAAATGTAATTCAAAGAAATCATTACACTTTATTAGGTAATTAGAGAATTAAACACCCTTTTCAATGATATACTAAAAAGTCAAATCCAAATTCTCATCAAAATCTGCAAAGTTAGCAAAACAATCAAGTTCTACATCAATGACTTGAGGATCGTCCTTTACACAGTACTAAATAGTAATGTACAAATTAAGTCACTGTTTGGTACCAATTAAAATGTAGATTTTAATTTAAGTCAAAATCAACAATCAATTTTAAACACATATTTTATGGGTCTCGCAACTTTTCAATTACTTACGTCATCAATTTCTATAAAAATTTATTAAAATTTTGATTTTAAGCCCCTCCAAACAAGGGCTTCAATTTTGTTCCAACTGTTGTCAACAATAAGGCTAATAGCCATAGAGGCGGACCCATTAAGGGACGAGTGGGGTTGACCGTCCCCACTGAATTTTAAAAAACCTTCAATTCGATCTTGTTAAATTTAATTTTTAGATTTTTTTTACAATTTATTTTAGCCAATTTTTCACCTCGTTCGTATTGAAGAATAATTCTGTATCTCCCCCTGAATAGCCACATATAAAATAGGGTAGGTCACTAGCTTATGAAATAATTTATGTTCCTCAAAAAGTCATAAAAGATAACATGCAATTCATAGTGTGGAAATGTTCTTTTCTAATCCTCATGCAATTGGTAGAGGATTTGGCAATATATCATTTCAGAGATTGCAAGGGATAAAATAAGACTTCCATTCTTATCCTCTTCCTCTCAAATAATGATATAATACTCAAAAACACATACACACCCATGTTGGGGTGTGTGTGTGTGTGTTTGGTGGATAGTTAATTAAAAAACCAATGGCAATATGCCACATTATTTTGATGAAAAAGTATCTCAACACCCTGAGCAGTACAAAGTGGTACGTCATCAATATATGACTTTATACAATTTGTTGAAAATAATTAGTTGAAATAATTATCAACAATTTGACTTTATATGACTTCATGCAAAGTTTTTTCGTGTTAATTAGTTGAAAAATGATTGGATACTAAAGTTCATCAATAACTACTTGTACAATTATTTCTTACAATATTGATTGACAATCATACTTGTCAACATCACATTCATCTATTTCAAAAACTGTTTTTAAAATTAATGGACCAGATTTTGACGACTTCAATGCTGGCATCCATTATTGTCAACAATAATTGGACAAGTAGATTAATTCTTTATTTTACATGTTATAATGTGATTCGATGTTTTGTTATAGTATGTGTTTATGTTTTATTATACAACTTTTATTGTGTCTATAATTAGAACGCACGAATCTACATTTCAATCAGATAGTTGGAATCATGAATCAATTCCAATTCATTGAAAGTATATAAATGCATATACCTAGTGAATTTTGTCAAATTCTCTTATTTTTTAACAAAAAGATAATAAAAGTAGGATGTATTTTGTTTGTTTGCTCCAATTTATTTTAGCTATCAACGACGACCCAATTTCCTCATTGAAGAACTATATACAATGAATAAGATAACAATTTAAAATATATATGACACGACGAGTTTTTTTAGCACGTAACTTTGAAAATTAACAAATTCAAATTTGAGTTTGGTACAGAAGAAGACATGAATTTCATGGATGACATGACGTGTTCTCATCACATTATGTCTAGTTTATGAGAATGTGAACTGTCAAAATCACTATATTTGTTGTAAGCAATCTATTAAGGGGCATATCACTTTCATGAGTTGCATTAGACTTCCCAATAAATGAACAAATATTAGATAGAAAGTAACCGATACCTATACAAAAAAATTGGGGTCATCTTTCTAAATCAGCCACTTTAGTTTTAAAAATAATACAAATCAAAACCTATATATGTGTGTGTGTGTGTGTGTGTGTGTGTGTGTGTGTGTTCCTTGAATTTTTTTTAATTAATTAATTAATTAATTAATTTATTTTTAATTCTTTGGTTCAGTTTAACATTCTATTGGTTTTTATGTAAAATTGTCAAATTATGAAATTAGAAGAAGAAAGAAATCCAATTTTAGGGTTTATAACCATAAATGTTATATTAAACGTGACTCATAGATCATGAATTTTGTGAAAGAAATTAGATAAAATAAACATTTTAGAGCACCTTGCTATTTTATGGTAATCTTATCGAGCTC